ACGGCCACCCGACACCCCACCACCCGAAAATCACGCCCGACCCCCCCTCGAAGACCCCGTACGGACGGCCGGAATCCCGTACGTACGGGCCGTACACATGACAGGGGTCCCGTACGTACGGTCGTACGGGAGTACGTACGGGCCGTATACGTACGGACGTACACACAGGTCTAGGCGGCCCTCTCGTCTGCCTCAAGTCCTTGCCATTTGCTTTAGTCAACCTTGCATTACAAAAACATGCTCAAGCCATTATCCAAGGGCGAAGGTTAAGTCCACAACCCGTTTGTCCTCAATCCCTCATTCTCTTTGCCGCCCGGCGTTCCCAGGTCCTTTCCCGCTCAAGGTCTCTTTACACTACTTACCTGCACATTCAACACAGTTTATGCAAACCGTTCCCCGCTTGGGGTCAACACATGCTCCCTCCCACAAGCCGAAGTTTGTTTCCTTGGCCCTTTTGTGCTTCCCTTTTTCCCTTTTCTCAGTCCAAGCCATTCTCTTCCCTTAGTCATGCAGTCGGGGTGATGGTTGAGTCAATCTGACCTTGCTTCAAGCTACATTTTTTTTCCTGACTTTGCCTCCTTCCAATCCTTCAAATGTCCTTCCCTTTCCTTCTTGGCGGCACAAGGGACCGACAAACCTTCCCGTGCCCTCTTTCTCCATCAAGTGAGGACTGATTTTTTTCACCGTTTGTTCCCTGGCAATGTAACAAGTGAGTGGGAAGGGTTAGTTATATGTCAAGAGGAGAGAGAGGGGAAGAAGGTCATGTCAAGGCTTTAGGGTGTGGGAGACGGATGACGATGGGAAAGGGGAGATGACGGCGGAAGAGGAGAAAGGGGAAAGGGAAAGAGGGGGAGAACGAGGATCGGAGAAGAGAAAAGAGAGAGGAAGGTAGATAGCTAGGTAGARWGAGAGAGAGAGAGAGAGAGAGAGAGAGAGAGAGAGAGAGAGAGAGAGAGAGAGAGAGAGAGAKAGAGAGAGAGACTWSCKACTCCWRATCGACCSTTWCCCCTTGCTTGTCCTACAATCCTCCCTAAGATTCTTCACCCCTTGTCGGTGTCCCTTTGGTCATGGCCTATGGTTGGTGGAAGAGATGAAGGAGGGTGAAGGTGTGAGGTGGTTGGTTATGGTGGATGACTGAAGAAGATGGGGGAGGGCGAAGGTGTGAGGGGGTCAGCTATGGTGAATGGGTGAAGAAGATGGAGGAGGGAGAAGGTGTGACGTGGTTGGTTATGGTGGATGGGTGAAGGAGGTGAAGGAGGGTGAGGGTGTGAGGTGGTTGACTATGGTGGATGGGTGAAGAAGATGAAGGGGGGTGAAGGTGCGAGGTGGTCGGTTATGCTGGATGGGTGAAGAAGATGAAGGAGGGTGAAGGTGTGAGGTGGTTGGCTATGGCGGATGGGTGAGGAAGATGAAGGAGGGTGAAGGTGCGTGGCGGTCGGCTATGGTGGATGAGTGAAGAAGATGGAGGAGGGAGGAGGTGTGAGGTGGTTGGCTATGGCGGATGGGTGAAGAAGATGAAGGAGGGTGAAGGTGTGAGGTGGTGGATGGGTGAAGAAGATGAAGGAGGGTGAAGGTGTGAGGTGGTTGGCTTCGGTGGATGGGTGAGGAAGATGAAGGAGGGTGAAGGTTTGAGGTGGCCGGCTATGGTGGATGGGTGAAGAAGATGAAGGAGGGTGAAGGTGTGAGGTGGTTGGCTATGATGGATGGGTGAAGAAGATGAAGGAAGGTGAAGAGGATGAAGGAGGGTGAAGGTGTGAGGTGGTTGGCTATGGTGGATGAGTGAGGAAGATGAAGGGAGAAGATGGTGGGAGATGGCCGACGTCGTCTCCAACTACAAGCTTTCGGGTTCGATCTTCTATGTTATCCTTAGTCCCGGACACAAGTTCCAGACTTGCAGCACTACTCTTACAACTAGTTATGCAGAAAAAACACAGATTTGCAGAAAACACAATCTAGCAGAAAATCACAGGATTTGCAGTTTGCAGTTTCCGACATTTTTGCCGTTTTTGTCATTTTTTACTAAGGGCGGAGAGCCGAAAAACACAAAAGGGTAGGTAGTGATTTACTCTAGAGTGAAGAAATTGACAATGCATGAGCTCAACATCACTAGAATACTAGAACAAGCAAAAATTGAAGTAGCGATTTACACCCAAGTGAAAAAAGAGGCAAAACAGGGAGAGAAAGGGAGTAGAACTCACTTTTGAGCACACACATGCAAAAGGGAAAGTAAAGATTTACTCCAGAGAAAAGAAATGAAAAATGCATGAGTTCAACATCCCTAGAACACTAGAATAAGCAAAGATTGAAGTATCTATTTACACCCAAGTGAGGAAAGAAGCAAGAGAGAAAGTGAGTAAAACTCACTTTTGAGCACACACACAGAAAAGGAGAAGCAACGATTTACTTTAGAGTGAAGAAATGGATAATGTAAGAGCTCAACATCACTAGAACACTAGAACAGGCAAAGATTGAAGTAGCGATATACACCCAAGTGAAGAAAGAAGCAAAACATGGAAAGAAAGTGAGCAAAATTCACTTTTGAGCACACACACGCAAAAGGAAAAGTAGCGATTTATTCTAGAGTGACGAAATAGACAATGCATGAGTTCAACATCACTAGAACACTACAATAAGCAAGGATTGAAGTAGCGATTTACACCCAAGTGAGGAAAGAGGCAAAACAAGGAGAGAAAGTGAGCAAAATTCACTTTTGAGCACACACACACAAAAGGGGAAGTAGCGATTTACTCCAGAGTGAAGAAATTGACAATGCATGAGTTCAACATCACTAGAACACTAGAATAAACAAAGATTGAAGTAACGATTTACACCCAAGTGAAGAAAGAGACAAAACATGGAGAGAAAGTGAACAAAACTCACTTTTGAGCACACACACATAAAAGAAAAAATAGCGATTTACTCTAGACTGAAGAAATAGGCAATGCATGAGTTCAACATCACTAGAGCACTAGAATAAACAAAGATTGAAGTAGCGATTTACACCAAAGTGAAGAAAGAGGCAAACCATAGAGAGAAAGTGAGCAAAACTCACTTTTGAGCGCACACACAAAAGGGAAAATAACAATTTACTATAGAGTGAAGAAATGGACAATGCATGAATTCAACATCACTAAAACACTAAAATAAGCAAAGATTGAAGTAACGATTTACACCCAAGTGAAGAAAGAGGCAAAACATGGAGAGAAAGTGAGCAAAACTCACTTTTGAGCACACACAAACAAAAGAGAAAGTAGCGATTTACTCTAGGGTGAAGAAATGGACAATGCATAAGTTCAACATCACTAGAACACTAGAATAAGCAAAAATTGAAGTAGCGATTTACACCCAAGTGAAGAAAAAGACAGAACATGGAGAGAAAGTGAGCAAAACTCACTTTTGAGCACACACACACAAAAGGGAAAGTAGCGATTTACTCTAGAGTGAAGAAATAGATAGTGCATGAGTTCAACATCACTAGAACACTAAAACAAGCAAAAATTAAGGTAGCGATTTACTCTAGAGTGAAGAAATGGACAATGGGGGGTCCATTCCTACTGGAGAAACCCCTTACTACCGGTACTAATCTTTGAAATGCATCTATGAAGAGAGAAGATAAGAGAAAGTGTAAGTGTTGAAACATGGGAGAATGAGAGAAGAAGAAGAGGAGGAAGAAGAAGAAGAAGGAGGAGAAGGGGAAGGAGGGGAAGAAGAAAAAGAAGAAGAAGAAGAAGAAAAAGAAGAGGAAGGAGAAGAAGAAGGAGGAGAAGAAGAAGAAGAAAAAGAAGAAGGAGAAGAAGAAGAAGAAGAAGAAGAAGAAGAAGAAGAAAAAAAAGAAGAAGAAAAAGAAAAAGAAGTAAGGAGTTTCT